AGTGGACCTAATTCTTCAACTAGATCTATAACGGTAAGGTATGTGAAAGAAGTAGGCAGCTATCTCACCATCAAATTATCACCAAGTTGGGGTGTTAGCCAACAGCTAACAGGTAGATATTGCATGTATACCTTTAGAGCCGAGTTCACCTTCCAGATTCCCCATGGACATTTAACATGTGCACCCCGCATCCGGAGGATATTCCCTGTAAGGCTGGAGGCCTGAGCAACCGCTAGTCATGTAGTTAGTTAGTTGGAGAACAGGGATCCCAGACTCTCCCATATCTAGGAATCAGTCCCCTTCCCTCCCTCCCAATCTCTCCTATAATCTCTCTCTTTCTCACCATGATCTCTCCCGCAGAAGCCATCACTGCCATGTTTGGCGGGGTAGTCGCCCTGAATATACACCTCCTAATATCGAACCTCACTTCAGTCCCTCGGACTCTCTATTGCCTTTCCCTTGGCCCGACGTATGTCCTAGCTCTACAGGTGATGGTCGCGGTTTCTATTGTCCGGATGCAATGCATCATCCTGAATCAGCCAATTTAGCTCCGATCGAGGAAGATCAAGCCCTTCTCTTTCTCTACGCTATTTTCCCAATGCCGTATCTGGTGATATTGGTGAATACCAAGATTCTTCCGAAGGTGTGTGGACGTCGGTGTTAGGAGATAGGACCAACGGAAGTCGGCCAAGACGTCCAAGTCTGCCGATGGTTGGGACCGAGTGAGATGATCATGTCTTGTACTAGCCGATTCTCTCACATGTCTCCTTTAGGTTGCTTTAAATTGATCAATCTATGGACGTACCTGGGGACCATTCTATCAACACTTTCACTCTCATGGGAGGTCCTTCCCAGCCTACAGAGCATAGTATTCCTGTCTCGGAAGAAATCGCCCCTCTGCAGTAGCGTGGATTGTGGGCTCCTAGCACTCCGCATACACCTCGCTAGTACTAGGGACGGACAGGGCTCCGAAATCATACCATGCGTAGGGAGTAGGAAACGGAGATCCCAGGGGTGGCTCACAATGCGCATTGTAAGAGACTAACTCTACGTTTACAGCCCAGATCAGTCAGCCAGTCAGGAGGAGAGGTGGTGTCTGGCAGACGTACTGTTGATGTTAGTAAGTAGAGAACTCTCACATTACATGATTCAAAGTAGGTCTGTTGTTGAGGGTAGAAACTCCGCGGTATATCATCTTTCTTTGTTCCATTCAGATCAGAAGTAACACATGTTTTCTTGGTATCTATGAGCATGATACGTACGTAAGCCTTGTCTCTTGTATGACTAGTTCTCTAGACTAGGATCTGATGAAATACTATTGAGTAGATAGACAGCTAAATAGAAAGGCAGTCTGGAAGTATAAATATAAGTGACAAACCACTGCTACATGCATACCACAAATATCAATCATAGTAGAGTCTACTAGTATATCCTCTATCACTATATCTCTATCTGACCCACTTATCCCTCCAAAAATATGACTTTCCACAAGCTATGCTTATAATTGACTGTAATCCCTGGCTTCATCTCGCCATCTGGAACCACATAAAATGGGATCTTATGTAATATGCAGACTATACCATCTTTATGTGAGGATTGAAGGGGGTTGTGTTCAGATGGTGGTGGATGAGCGAATGTTCTCCTGACTATGACATGTGCAATTGATTTACTCATTATCTAAATATACGCCAAATATATGGATACTGTTGGTAGTTATAAGGCCAAGCAAGTGGGGATATTAGTATCATATATGAAGGAGTAGGAGTAGTAGGAATGATCGCATCAATTACACGATATACAGTGTACTACGCTCGGCTGGGGATTTTGGAATTCTGAGGATTCAACAGATACTGGTTTGCTAATCTTACACCTCAAAATAGGGGAGGAAATATTAATGAAACAATCTATCTAATATACACTATAGCTCACGCAGAATATTCATCGCGTCCGTTTCAAGATCTATTTCTCCTTCCCCTTCAGTTGCCACCTCAAACTCACCCTCACCTTCTCCTTCACCCTCAACCTCACCCCCCTCTTTCACAGCTTGAATAGTCTGGGTCCACCCTTTCCGAATCGACGGTTGAAGCGTAAGATACCCAACAAACGCCACAACACTCACAACAGCATACCCAACCGACAGCCACACATCCTTCGACTGTGCCGCCGCAAACGCAGACATCGTCCTGCGCTCAATCCCGCTCAGCTCCCCGTTGTCATCAATCGCCTCCTTCATCCGGTTGTTCAAACGGATATCCTTCCAGATAGGCGTCGCATCCGCAAGGGTGTTATAAAGGGTGCTTCCAATCGTAGCCAACCGAGCTCGTTGCGGTGCCTGCCAAGGCAGAATCGATGATCGTGATCTCTGATTATCATCTGTGGGAAGAGCATGCTCGAGCTCAACCACGCCGAAGATCTCCTTCCCCATTCGCTCCGTGTACGCCGTCACCTGGGGTGCCTTGCTGCGCATCGCATCCCTCAGCCAGGAGTTAGGCAGCTCCGGCACAAGTGCCAGACTTAGGTATCCCAGGGCCAGACAGTCCAGGCTCGTGGGTCCGTCCTCGCGAGTGTGCAGGAAGTATCCCTTCCCGTTAAGGATTTCCTCGAGTGGCTCGAACAGTTCCGCGGTCAACGCCTCCAGCTTGAACTGGTTCTGCTGCGCCGTCTTGCCGAGTAGGGATGAAACAGTGTCGCGTGGCTGGGGAATGAGGTTCTTGGGGATCTGGCCTGCTGCGACGGCGGCGGAGTGGTCACGTTTCCGTTGGTCTTCGATGGCTTGTATGTCCAGGGAGGAGAGGCCGAGATGTTCGGTGCGGGTTTTGGCGGCGCTGTGGAGTTTCGGAGGGAGAATCCATTGGTTGGGCCATTGGAGGATGGCGCCGTAGGAGGGAGAGGTGCAGTTGTAGTAGTTTTGGCTGGTGACGTAGAGAGAGAGGTCGAGGAGGGATTGAGCGCGGGATTCAAGGAAGGCGGAGAAGCTGTTGATGATCGGTTAGAATCTGCCTCTTCCCCCGAACATATTATATCAAGATACTGGGGTATGGGAAAGCATACGCAGTGTTGTCTGCTTTTTCGATCCCACTGAGACCCTGATCCAGGTCCCAGTCGCCGTTCGAATACTGACGGAGGTAATCGACGATATTGCGGAACCGGCTTACCCATGTTGAGCCATTTTTGAGGGCTGGTAGTTCGCCTGCAAAAAGTATAATGTTAGTCAATGCGTCATGAAGCCCACGAGCATAGAGCAGGGGCCCTCCAGAAACTAGTATTCGGAGAATAAACCACTCAGACAAACATACAAGTCGGCGACACGGAAGGATCACTGCTTGCGACGAGTACCCAGGCATCCTTGGGCACCGTCAGGGACAGATACGTGATTGCGGCGAGACATTGCGCATCAATAGACGGCAATGAAAACGCCGGACCCCAAATATGAAGTTCCAGAACCATCTTTTCCCGTCGTTGCGGCGATGGCCAGACAGATGGAGGTTGCGTTGTTGGGCCGGTGCTATCACGTGGAGATTCCGCCGGGCGGCGAGACTGGTCGCCTCAGGCTGACAGGCAACCATTCCAGCATCAACTATCTACGGCGTCTCTACTTACTCTGGAGGTATGGTATACACAATACAGAGCGGGGAGGGAGCATGTTGTGGATCTATCCCACGCATATCAGGACGTAGATAGTATCCTGCCTGATCTAGTAAGTGGTTGGTGCGACTGGCCAGTGCAACAGATACAGTACAAACAGCAAAGTAGGGGTCATCGGATATCTGAGATGATGGCATTGAGTAAATTAAATCCATGGGATTCTGGTTTCACTTTGTGTCATCAACCCCTCCTTTTAGGCGAGGGAGTCAGTCTACTGATCTACTAACTATGAGTGATTTTCTTCGCATCCGCGTCCCGATCGTAATTGATGATAGGAGAAGGGACTGGGAGTTTGAAGCTAACGGAGTACGAGGCAAGTAGTTAGATAACTAGCTAGCTAGCTATTCAGCCAAATTAACTGACTGGCGGGAGTATACGCGATACTCAAGCCACACCTACTTACACCGTTACTACTAGTAGTAGTCAACGACTAATCTAGTGGTCTACTATCTACTGGCTCCCGCACAGTTAATCAAGAGATGTCTGCAGAAGTTGAATGACAAACGCAGGAAACCCACCCATTTAGCGCTATAATTACAAGAAGAAAGTAAGATTTAATTTTACTACTTCTCTGCCATCCAATTCAGCACATGGCATGACATGCTCAATTCCGGGATTTGACAACGGCCTAATGAACTAACGCTCAGTCCCTGCTTACTTTACGGGTTAAAGGTGGGAAAATAAATAAAAAAAATAATAATAGTAAAACAAAAAAATTCAAACAGACAAGGCTCCAAGCCAGGTACATCCGAGGTCAGTTGACCTGCGATCGGACATTCGTGCTAAATCAACTAAGGTTTAGAGAACGTGGAAGACAAGAGTAGAAACAAGGCAGAAATAGTAATATGGAGCTTAGGTACCTCTTCCCACCCCCGCCACGTATACCCGTTATATCGAAAAGCGGGCAATCAAGGCACGGTTAGACACCTAGTACTAGGCAGACACACACACACACACAGGTGGGCCGCTCCTTGAGCTGGATGAGGTATGTAGATAGTAGCTCATACATACATACATACATACATACATACATACACAGTAATCAACGGAGGGAGGGATTAAATTATCAGCTTATCATTGATCAGCATTTGTTTATCGTCAGGATATCCGCATCCTTTCATCCATTCATCCATTCATCCATGGCATGGCTTGGCTTCCTACATATGCAATGCAGGTGGCATGTGGTTTGCTTGGCGGTTACGAGATTAGATTCCGTGACTTGGGTGGGAGAAGGGGTCCTGAGACGGGTCTTTTGCAACAAACAATCCATCCAGTTAGATACTACGACCAGCATAGATAGTAAGTCGGTTCCTAGTAGTAGTCCTGCGGTAGAGCCCGTCGTATCAGGTGCGCCACCCGGGCCGCGCAGGCCAGGGTGCGTACCTCGCAGAAACTATTGCATCAAGTAAGAAAAAGCAATACTGCAGCACAACTGATAAGGAACTGCGGGAGAGGCGGGTGTCTACCATTGTCCTTATTTTTCTTTTCCTCGCTTGGATCACCGTATGATCGAGTCATAATCTTGCTAAATGCCGCTATCTGATTACTCAATTCAGTGCGGTACATGCGCCAGAAGAGTGACTGGCTGGGATTGGCGCTAGAGGATGGAGGTTCTCCGTACTACAAGAGGGGGAGGGGGGATCGCAGCGCTATTTTCAGAATCCCTGCTGGGCTGGACTGTTGTTACTCCGCTGCTGAACGTTGCCCTGTGTGTGTGCGCTTCCTGTCGATCTCTTTGGGGGGGGAGGTTCCCCGCGGTCACACAGGTTACTCAAGCAATGCACCATGCAATGCTGCAATGCAGTTATCATAAGATGCTTACAGTTCTATACGTTTAGGATTGTAAGATAGGCAAGTAAATGGTAAAGAATTTGATAGTTTCATTAGCAATGTCAAAGCGCAGCCAAGAATGCGAAATGCCGCTGGGTATATTAAGTCTATTATACATGCCGTCGATTTCAGATAAAGCTCAAATCCCAAATGTGATGATAACAAAGAAAATGGTAAAAGGAAATAAAACCGATTAAGTAATTGTTGAACCCCATGTGCGAATGGGATCCAAGGTTTCTGAACAACGCATTGACATCGGTGGGGATCGTGCGATCCATGCTGCAATTGGGTTGGTCGATGAACATTACCCGAACTTGCACATGAAACTCGTATGCTCGCGAGTCTTGTCGTCATCACTTTGTTGCAGGGTCCGATTGCTGACAAGGCTGGTTGGAGATAAATGGCCCGAGAGTGGGGAACCAATAGCGAGTCACAGCATCATGGTCCCTCTTGCTCGTCGAATCCAGCCCCCCTGCAGTGCGATAGGATCTGCCGATCACTCAACAGCCGCGTGAGCTGATGCAGTGCAACGATTCGATGTCGCAATGTCAAAACGTCATTGTAGAATGGGAGCAGAGAGCGCCTGCGCGTGTTCCCGGAGAATTGTATGGAGAATTAGACACCGGCCCAGGAGAGGATTCCGTGTGGTGGTGGTAGTCAGAAAGTTCCGAAAGATGGAGAATCGAAGGTGTTGAGGAATGCGAATAAAAGGTATATAAGTGGAAAGGAGCAGAGCCATAGTGTGATGTCCCAAAAACGAAATCGTGATAACCATATGCCGAAAGGTGCAACTCCCATGTCATGAGAGACTCGAACCGGTCCACATTGTCACTGTTCCTGGCGGAGTTGGTGGGAAGGGTTGTGGTTGAACCGGTTGAGTCTGTCGGTCGTCAAGTTCATATCAAGTGAATTGCCCATTGCGTTTACTTGGGGAGCGGAGGAAGAGGGCCCTTTGGCGGGGGACCAGGGCAAGGAGGGAACTGAGAGGTAGAGCCACCGATGGAAGGCATGGTGATGTAGTTGTGGATGGTAATGGGTGATGTGCGTGGTGATGGTAGTAGTAGTAGTGGTGGTGGTAGAAAGTAGTAATAGTAATAGCGGTTGATGTAGTGTAGCACGCGAGTTGTTTGAGAGGATTGAAGTTGAATGAAACCAAGAGGATTGGAAGAAGACGAGGTCAGATGGGCGTCTAATATATACTTGAGAGCTTCCCTCAATTTTCTGTGCCCTTATTTTATTTTTATTTTTTGAAGAAAAGACCAACCGGGGTGATTGGCGCTGAACCAGAAGCAGAATAATAATAATAATCAAAAATAATAATAATGGGGACAGAATAATCAGAACGAAAAAGAAAAAATTAAAATTAAATCATAAATTCTCATAATATTTATTTTTTCCCCTTCCCTTTCCCCTGTCGGGAACAGCTGAGCTCCACCGGCCGGATAGGAGGAAACGAACTACGTCAGAATCTGACCGCGTCCTTACACTAGTGCGGTATGGTGGGCTGCCAGATGGATTCTCGATGGATGCCTCTGCTGCTGAGGCCCCAATGGGAAATCCCAGGGAAATTTTCTAGAAGCTCCTGTTGTCCCACTCCGACCGGGGACTGGGCTTCACCGCTGAGACTTTTTGCCTCCCCCTTTTTTTTCTTGGGTTCCGCAGGTCTAATTAACATGCGCATTATCGGAGCTTATTTGATGGGGTGTGGACTGATGGTGGTGCTAGGTGGGCGTCTCAATCAGAAACAAAGGGTTGGTCTGTAAGGGCGATAATGTCACAGCCGAACAAATGTGCGGGAAGAAATGGGAACCAAAAAAAAATTAGTTAGTACTCCGTAGTGAAGGAGAAACAGGATCGAAAGAAAGGAAAGAAGAAGAAGAACAAACGAAAGACACAATGTGAAATTGGGAAAGAACAAGTGAACACGAAATTGGACAAGGCAGGCATTCCTGACCCACCACAGCGTTTATCGTCCTCTCTCTCTCTCTCTCTCTCTCTCTTCATTTTCTCTACGGAGTCGTCTCTACACACCCCGTTCTGGCGGCTTCTTTTCTCACCTTTCCCATTTTGCTTTCTGGGCAAGACAGCCCATCTTTTCAGCAAAGAAAAGAAAATCCTCTGAGCGAGACGCCGCCCATGTGACTACGACTGTAGCTAAACACTAGTGCCATTTCGCTTGGTTACGTAAATTACCATGGGGGAGGACGATGACACTGACGAAGAAGCAGCAGGCATGAGTAACCTACTTTGTAATGGTTAATGAGTTAACCTTGCTATCTATGACTCAATCGAAGGGATCAATGCCACCGTTAGAGGATGCGCTTACTCCGCATCCCGACCAGGATGGTGTCCAGGCAACCTCATCCCTGAGTATGTGCAGCTGCGTTTGATAGGCTTACGAGCTTTGGGGGCTAGTCCAGCCATCCCAACACGTGCCAGTTCGTAGATCCTTTGAGGGGGAAAGAAAACTAAGAGCGTGAGAAGAGCACCAGAGGGGACAAGGTCCAGCAAGTTCGATAAGGAACCCTCCAGGATGATCCGAAGTCAAATGCGCGGCTGTTGCGCTGCCCGTCTGAAACTCGGATGCGTGTGATTTGATTCCTCACTACCACCACCACACAGACACCTTCCTAAATGTACTTCCTTTCCCCCCCAAAAGAGGGAAGATCCTACTAGCTCCAGCCAGATTGTCGGGACCTGCGGGCTTATCCTCTGACTGTATCCATCCAGTCCAAGCCACCACTCAACCCGTAGTTCTCAAGCCCAACTGACGCCTGCATCCTTCAGCCTTCCCGTCTCAGGCGTGGGTTGGGCCTTTTTTGTGAGCATGAATAGTAGCTGAGCGTGGTGAGACAGCCAGTAGTAGACAGCTGAGGAACCATGGTCCATGATTGGGATTGGTAGAGACATTCTTCCCTTTCCTTCCCTTACAGCCTTGCTCAGGGGTGAAGGAGGGAGGAGAGAGGTGATCCGATCATAACGGAAGAATGACAGGTCGTTTCATCTGTACAGGGCGGCAACTTTGTCGCAGCCAACGGGGTAGCCGCAACCTAAAGATACACACACACACACAAGACTGAGAAGAAGGAGCTTTGATGGCGTGTCCTCAGGCCGCCGCCGGAGCGATGTTTCAGGGGCTGATCACCATCGCACTACTATTCACCCACAAATGGATCGCATCGTCGGGGTTTACGTCCGCCAACGAGAACCCCGTCTCTCCTTGCAGGAAAAGTCAGGAAAAGTACCTGCGTTCGTATTGTCCGAGCTCTCAGACTTTTGGGTGCTGCCCTGAACAGTTTGAGTTCAAGAGGAGCTGTCTGTCATCCATCCTACCTCTCCCAAGGTACGGGAGCCTCGGGAAGCGATTGGAATCTGGTAATTCCGGGCTCTTCCATTTGACGGGCATCTCGGCTGACACCCATCCATTCCATTCATTCCATCCATTGTGGCTGATGGCCCTTGCCTAGTCTTGGCTGTTGTGGTTTGCTATTGTTGCTGTAAGGCTGCCCTCCTATCGTCCCTGATCCATAACTATTAGACTTCACATAATCTCATAATTACACATCCTATACTCCGTACACGTACCATACCAATTAATGGTCACTGACTGGCTCGCCATCTTCCCGTCCGTCCCTGCAGCTTGAGAGAACTAATTGAAACTAATCTCCCACACCAGCTGACTTGGGTGTACTCTCTTATGCAATGCAACGCTCATCAGGTCCAATCCGGTTTGACTTGATTTAATGTTGAATGAGTTCATTAAATGAACCAGTAGCCATCCACCAATCTCACCCCCATGAAGTCCTGGCGTGCAACCGGACTAGCAGCACCCGCTTCATGAGCAAATATCTAATGAGGATGCGCGGCGTCACGCCAGATCATCTGCAGATGGGACGTGGCCCGGGGTGCAAAGTATACGGTAACAGGAAGGGAGAAACGATGATCCTGCACGTCAATCGATTGCTGCATCGACTCATCGGTCGATCCATCGAGATGCGGGTTGCGTTCTCGCGTCGATGATTTGATCCGGTCGCTGGCTTCTCCGCCGACAATTTTCGTTACCCACGGCCGCTAGAGAGATAGGCCGGCGCCTAACAGGATACTAACAACCCCGGCCTGCATCAAGTCGTCCTCAACGACTTACTTCTTTGGCGTAGTGTGCAGCTGTTAGCGCCGCTGCATGCATGACCACCGACTGAGACTTGAGAAGGACAAGGCAGGTTTTCGCCAGTCCCAGCAGTAGCATCGTGAGCTACGGCGTTCTACTGTATTCTACTAATTTTACCCGGTCGGTGGTGATGGCCGCCTGACGCAAGAGATCCCGCGCGCTTCCGGTGGATATATGGTTCATTTTCCCTTTTCTATTAGGTATCGATTATCTCCCAGCAGGTTTCCTGAGCAATCCGGATCAGTCATAATCACCAGCTTTGCCACTTCCTGATTCTGCCAGATCACATGGCTCTTATCCATTTGGGACGCCGGGGCAGAGAAGGCCAAAAAAAACACATGGCAAGAAGAGAAGGATGTTGACAGAGTGGATCCCAGTTCCAAGAGAACGAAATGAGATCCCCACTGTTGGGGGTGTTCATTCCGCGCCGTTGGTGTGGTGAAAACTGGATCGCAGCCATTGATGGCTGGTCTCAGTGCGGAGGCAGGGTGATTCACGCCAATTTCGTCAAACTCCTCCTCGGCAAACTCCTACAGCAGTCCTGGACAGATTGCTATAGTAGTGCAAAAAGTGGGGAATGGGTACACATGATACACCACACTCACTAAACCTTTGTCATACTTACGCGCTTTTCTCTCGTTCGGCCTATGTTGTCGTACATCCCGGGCAGTTTCCCGCCTCAGTTTTTGGTCCCTGCGGGTGAGTGGATGTAACGCAGCAATGCGTTAATGCAGGTACTATGCATCTTACTGCATCCTCGACTATCACAATCACCGTGACGCCTCCAGTCTGCAATATTCAATAGTCCGACTGCAGGAGTTTGCCCGCGCCGATGTAGGCAAGATCGGAATTTCGCAGCAGGACTCCGTGCGGCGTACATATCTAGTGAAGATCAACATCAGGGAATTCTCCGCTCTGTGGAATGGTACTGACTCTTCCAGAAACCGTCGCCATCCATGGTTCACCGCTCCTCCGTCGCACAGTGCTCGTCCACTGTCCCACAGCTTGCGTTCAAACTCTCAACAATCGCTCCCGCTCTGTCACTAATTTCGGACTAAAGGCCACTAATTATGATACGAACTTGCTACTTTGTTCTAGTCAGCAGCCGGTCGTAGCACCGCCTTGGACGCCGCCGGTTTCACTACAACGGCTGGTCCACTTGCTCCCACCAACTCTGTTGCGGGAAACCACAGCCCATCGAATTCTATCCCAGCCTCTTTCGGCACACAGACATTGGTTATCGGTTGGCTGTGTGGCATCACCTTATCTCCTTCCGGATGGGCACTTGCAATTACTGCGGTCCTGGGTAGTGGCGTGGATTTCTATACAGTACTTAGGATACCGTGTCTTAGGACCCATGTTGATCACGATTTTCAATAGCACCCTTATGGTTCGACTACTCCCTGTTGAACCCCGCAGCGGGATCGGATCTCACGGGCGGCTGGCTACGGTTTTCTCGAATACCTCAAGCAAGGCAACAACACAGGCAACATAGGTTCAACCTCAGTCACAATTCTTTCGGCATTTTTCCTCGCGGTGTCCTGCCTCTTTAGGCAACTCTCAAGCAGCTAGAAAGGGCTGTATCTATCGAGAGGGTCTTTTCTACAACTTTTGCATGGAAAAGTCCTCCTTACCGTGGAACATGGATCCCAATTTTATCAATGTCGGTCAATCCTACTCCACAGTACGGAGAACTCCGCCCACTACCTTAGTCGGAGAAAAATTTTGTTTGGACCTGCCCTTTCCTTCCTCGACTGACGTCAAGATTCGGCTACTCTCCATTGGATCCGGTGCAGGGTTTTGCTTAGCCACGCGAGATTATTAATGTTTGCACGCCAATTACTGGGCCATTGTTCCATGCTTCGGAAGGCATCTCCGCAAAAGGGCGGACAGGGCGCTTCTGAAAGAAAACGGTGAACCAAATCCCGGTCCTCGTTTACTCTAGTGTTGGGGTAAATATAAACGACACGGCAATATCTCGGTACTTTGACTCTTGGCAAGACAATGAAGCAGAAGCCATTTGGGACGCGTCTGCTCAATCTAAAACGCCATTCTGTCCCCTGTTTTCAGATATATCACGGAGTCGCAAGCTGTCAATCTGGAAGTCAACGTGAAACAACCCCTGTACATCAGTATGTTATGCGCCAGGATCATGGCTTATGCAGCAAGCCGAAAGTCTAAATGACCCTCACATATGTATGTGCTGCAGTGCACATCCATGCGGCATGGTGTTCCTGTTCCAACGGCGAGTGCCCCGCAAGAGGCTCCCAGGGACCGACTGAGTTTTGACAGTAGGGGCCAGTTGCGACGCGGCCGCGCACTGTAGACGTGGTCTTCTGCGCGAAATGGGCGAGACAGTCAGGTTCCTTGGAACCCGGTGTTACACAGAACCTAATTCAGATAACGGCCAGCATCCGAATCAGGCCGTCGCACACCACTGTTTCGTCACCTCACTGGAAACTCGAACCTAAAGATTATTTTCGGCCGGACTGGTCTCGACTCCAGCTGATGTTGTCCAGGCAGGCCGCCATCGCACCAGGTGGCACAGCAATTTGCAAACACGTCCGCAGGACGATCGTTCGATCCTTTTTCACCTGGATGACATTCAATCTTCATCACGCGCACGAGCATTCTGCAACTCATAATATGCGACCGTTGGACCACACCATGCGTTATGCAGGAATCAAACGATCATGGTAGCGCTACATATGGTTGCATCTTATGACGAAGCATCATCCCCGTTCCACGCGGCGTGTGCAAGTCTTGCAATACTGCAACGTATTGCAGGCAGCTTCGAAATTATTCTTCAGGCAGATCGCCTTGCGCCTGGGTTGATATCCATTCCTCCATGAGGACCTGACGACCAGGTTCTGCCGTGGCAGCTCTTGTTCCCGTCTTGTCACCTTTCCGCGTGACAAGCAGACACAGCACCCAGCCGTAGATATTGAATCCCTCGTAGTTGGTCCTGAAGCGCATCTTCTTGTCATCGCCATCATCTGCATCTCGCGATAGCGTACCATCATCCTTCCTCCGCTTCGATGTACGCTGCCGCTCCGGCGAGTCATCAGACTGCCCATCAGCATCATCCCGCTGACGTTTCGCCCCCGCGCCATCATCATCACTAGTCGCCTGTGGAATATCCCGCATCTCCAAACCCTCTCCTTCATCATCACTCTCAATCAATATCCCAGCCCCAGCCCCACCAGGACCAGACCCTGTCCCCCTACCCACAGCGTAGCCCCCCTCATCCTCGTCAAATTCCTTGTGCCTTGTAAGAAGCGAATGGCGCGTCCTCGACTCGCGCAAAAACAACGCAACTTCGAATTCCTCTGCACGAATTGCATGATCAGCCATTCTCCTCTCCCTTCTAAAGCGAACCAAGCACCATAATATCCAAAGAATAAACATGAATCATAATAGATTATAGCTTACCTTCAGAGATAACATCTTTCACCGGCTTCCCCTTCTTCTTCGCAAATAACCGCTCATTCTCCTCGCGTAGTTTGGGCAGCACGAGCGGCCGGATCGCTGCGAATACGCGTGGAAGCACGGCGTCACGCGCGTTCAGGAGCCACCGTATATCGGACGGGTTCTCGAGGTAGATTCGGCATTCGAGGACTGTGTATTTGCTGATCCGGAGGTAGCGGCGGATGGGCGCCATGCTTACGCTTGGGTAGTTGGTTGGTGGGTGGTATGTCGCGAGAGAGCGGTGGGTAGATTGGGAATCGAGCGGCTGGGAGATTCTTGTTGTTGTCAATGGTAGAGGATGCGGGGATTATGTGAGTGAGGAGTAGAGGAAAGTGGCGTATGGTCTGATATTGTGGTTGTGATGTTAGAAAGTAAAGTGGGTGGATGGGTGTCAATCAGTGACGTTACCTGGGGTGCCGCGGGCAGTGACCGCCAAGCTTAGGTTAGCTGCGGTGCGGTGCGGGATCAACTATGGGCTGGCTGTTATGTTAGCCTCCGAACCAACTGGTCAATTTGTATCTCGACGTGGCTTAGCTGGTTTGTGCTACTTGCAGGGGTATTGAGCTTGGCTTTATTATGTTCTTTCGTTTTCTTTTGGGGTGGATCATATGATTTTTACAACTCTTACTTCTCGGTTTACTATACAACTGGTGGCTGAAGTAAATGGAGTGCAGGCAGGTTTCGGCCGAAACCCATTCGGTTGATTGTTATAGTGGCTGCTTGCGGTGGGTATCTGGTGATTCTTGCATGGAAGTATAGTATACTGTATCTTCCTGTAGGGATTGAGTAGTTGTTGTGGCTGGTGCTGTTACTTGGATGGTTGCGATTGAGATCTCGCTTTCGTTTGCTTCGTCGGGAATTTCCGGCTTTTTGAAGCTGAAGGTTGATAGATATTCATTCCTAGTAAAGAGCATGCGATGGAGGTATAGATGCTTTATGATTAATATTCCAATCAACCGTGCATGTACCTGATATATAGGAAGGTAGAAGCGTATGTCTCTATACCCTGCTGTATGCGATTCCATGCACCGGTAATATCTCTCTGTTCTCCAGGGATTTTTTAGATGGTCTCTGTCCTGTTCTTCCCTGGTCCGTTGTTAGTTACCAGGTTAGCAATCTCAGTGATTCCATGCTTATCCCTGATGGACGCTCCATAGTCGATAGAGGCTATGGTTGAGGGGTGAACAAATGCAGCGAAGTATTCACCTTTTCTCTAGCCGTTATGTTAACAAAACTCATTTAATTTAACTTTGACTTGTTCTCAGGTAGGGATAAACATCTTTTAAGAACGTAGCAATCTTCTAGCTGGATGCGTCTGTATAGTAGGTAGGGGTAGCGCAGGTTTGTGTTGTTTTGGTATTCTGAATTCGAGATTATTTTATCTATGATCAACTCTATCACTCTATGGTGAGAGGATATCGACGAAGAATATCTACTAGGAGGATCTTGGATCTAGCTGGTGCATTCCTGCTCGGATTCTTCCTTCCATGCGGTTGGTGTCATCGTCAGTGGTTGTAATGGAGGCAGAATGTCGTAAATATCGCGTAGGTTGCCTGCAAGCCGACCAGTTGTATGATCTGGGAATGCAAAAGGCAGTCACGCTATTGTGGCTGTCTAAGATGTTGTTAGTCTATAGCACTCCGATCATGTATCATGTAGTGTGAAGTACAACGTTCCCATAACTGACTGGGGTATGTCATAGATTTCGACACAATCGAATGTACTTTGTATTGTAGAAAGGCATATACTGAGCTGCAAAGAATATTAAATCCTGGAATGGTCTTTAATAACTGACCGAAACGTGGTATCGGAACTTCAATGGCTGCAGGTAATGCAAATATAAAGTACTAAGTGGATAGTAAGGGTCTAGTATATAGTTCAGCAAAGTCCAACCCGACCACGTCCCTGGATGACCCATCTGATTAACGCCCAAAGGACCCCTGCATCTATATATATATATATATTAAAAAATAACAATCAAGTATCATCATCATCTCCATATCGAGGTATAATCAAACCTCGACAGCTCAGTCGGACATGCAGAATGTATAGACGTCACATGACACCGCGTATCGCTCGCGTTTCCCCGAGTCGACGGGCTGCAGCTTCTGGACCCCTCAGCATCAACAACAACACAATCTCCATGGATACTTCGCAATGGATCCTATCCTAGATGGGCTCAATTCCGCCCAGACAGCCGCCGTAGCGTCTCCGGCCCCCATCCTCCAGGTCCTCGCTCCCCCCGGCTCAGGAAAGACCAAGACCCTGACCGCACGCGTCGCGTACCTGCTCGCGCACCATGGCTACCGACCACAAGATGTCATCTGCTGCACATTTACAATCAAAGCTAGTCGGGAGATGAGGGAACGGCTGGCAAAGCTGATCGGCGATGAGTTACAGAAGAAGCTGATTCTGGGAACGTTCCATTCGATATGTCGGAGATACTTGGTAACGTACGGGTATTTGATCGGGTTGAAGAAAGGGTTTGGTATTGCGGACTCGGGGGATAGTTTGGCGATTATCAAAGTATGTGGTCTGGGTTACATGGTCGTGGTGCCTGTGTCGGTTACTGACTTCTACAGAGGATCGTCAAGCGATTACAGGTTGGAATCCAGCCTAATGCAGCGAGGGCGAGGATATCACACCAGAAAGCTCATGGAGTTAGCCCGGATGAGCTGGCAGCGAAATTGAACAAAAATTCAAAGGTTCTGGAGCAGAGAGAGTTTGTTCAGGTATATCGTGAGTATGAGGCAAATTTGGCAGCATCAAATTTGCTGGACTACGATGATCTACTTGTACGCTGCGTGGAACTGCTCAGGAAGCATCCGCAGTGTGTATCGAACGTTCAAGCTGTTCTGGTTGATGAGTTCCAAGATACGAACCATATCCAGTATGAGTTGATGAATTTGTTTGCGTCCCAGAATCAGCGGATCACTGTCGTTGGGGATCCGGATCAGAGTATCTACGGTTTCCGATCTGCGGAGATCAAGAATCTGGGGCGTATGCAGCAACTATATAAGGATACGTCGATTATCTTGCTGGAGGACAATTACCGTTCGTCAGGGTGTATTCTGAGCTCGGCTCAAGATGTCATCGAACAAGATTCATCACGGCCGGCAAAGAAGCTGCAGCCGACGCACAGCTTGGGCACTATGCCTGTCCTGCGCAAGCTGCCTAACTCGGAGTCGGAGGCCCTCTGGATTGTTCTGGAGATCAAGAGGTGCATTGCATTGACTGGGAAGCTTGTGAACTATTCGGACTTTGCGATACTGCTTAGGTCGGCCGCTCTCTCTCGTCAAATCGAAGCCCAGATGGGAAAACATGGAATTCCGTACCGGATGGTTGGTGGCCTGAGGTTCTTCGACCGAGTGGAAATCAAGTTGCTCCTGGACTATCTTCGAGTGATTAGCCAGCCGGGTAACACCGATGCTCTCTTGCGCATCATAAATGTGCCGTCTAGAAAGCTCGGTGATGAATCGGTCAATCTGTTGACGAAGGGTGCGGAGAAGGCGAAGAAGCCGCTCTGGGACTTCATCAAGGATGTCGCGCAAGGCCGCAGTTCAACAGAGAAGTCTCTATCAAAGCCTGCCGATAATGGACTGTGTACCTTGGTTGGTCTCATCGAATCTGCTCGACAAAAGCTCCGTGAATGCACCGACGGGTCGTCACCGAGGAAGCTCCTCGACTTCTTGATCAAGAAACTTTCGTTCCGTGAATACCTCAAGGCGTTACATGGCTCGAATGAGGAGAATCGGTGGGCCAACGTGGAGGAGCTCTTAAACCAGGCTGATGACACACCTGGACCAGAGAACGAGGCTGAAAATGATGAAAATCTCCCGGAAATACAGGGTCTCGAACAACAACAAGCCCATCCAGGTGAAGAGGCACTGTCTCGCTTTTTGGCGAATGTGGCACTGTCCACAGAGGTCCTTCCCCAGGAAGGTGAAGAGGGCGAGCAATCCGATGAGAAGGTTACCATTTCCACGATTCATGCAGCAAAGGGCCTTGAATGGCCTGTGGTATTTGTGCCGGCCGTGCTCAACGGCATCATCCCACATTCACGGGCCGAGGACTCAGACGAGGAGAGAAGACTGCTTTATGTAGCCATGACCAGGGCGCAGGCATTGCTATATCTGAGCTATCCTCTTCGACAGTCCCGCGATGGTGAAGAGGCAACCTTGTCGAGTTTTCTCCCGTCAAAGCTAGTAGAGGAGCGATTTCGTGTTCTGGGACCCAAAATCAACGACAAGATCATACAAGATATCGCAGATATCCTACGTCGACCAATGCCGGGCTCAGCTGCTATATCGGAAGGACGATCTACCTGTGATATCCCATATGATGATCAGTGGACAGAAGATGGCTTCGAGGCACCTGATGCGATCATTCGCTGGGACGGCACCAGAGCCATGGGCGGGGAGCCCAATCCTAAGAGACAACGGCTCAACCAAGAGCAATCGGGCGCATCGACGACAACGTACATGTCATGGACGCCGCCGACCATGAATGGCTCCAACTTTTCTGTGCCCACCACGTTATCCCTAGGATTCTCGACAGCCCGCGAATACATAGCGACTAGCGACTCGGCCCCAGAACAACCCCCAACCACGAAAGCCGAGACCAAATCGAACGCCGTAGCTGCCAGTATCGTCGGTCGCAAAGCGGATGGGCTATCGCAGAAAACGATATCCGGCTTCTTCGGGCAGCCTTCGTCGTCAGGCCCACAGAGCGGTTCAGGCGCGGCTGGGCGCTACCAGCCTCAGGGCAACCGAAGAGACGCGGTAGGGCAAACGCGTCACAGCGGATCGTCGAACTCTGAGTTTAAAAGTGTGATCCCATCGAATCTCCGGACGTATCGACCGCAAGGGCCAAAGTTGCAACCGCCTCGACCGGTTCTCGAACCTTCCGACCCGAATCAATACACCTGGTTGGCGGCATCCTCGAAGCCCTCGGAGGGACAGAAGCCGTTCTCGCGCGCCACTCAGGGACCGAAATTGACGGCTGAAGGAACAAGCGAAGCTGGGAAGGATTTGCGGACAAGCGAGATTAAGAGTCTTTCAGGAACCGTCGGGGGAGCCAGACCGGTGGCCACGTATCACACGACAACCATGTCGATGGTGCAGACAGGGCCCGCGACGACGATGCGACGGACGCTAGGGATTCGACGAAGCATGAATGGATGGGCGGATCGCATGAAGAGGGAGAACAATGGACCATCCTCATAGCGGAAGAAGAATGGTGTGGCGTCTGGCGAAGACAAGGGTATATACTTGGTCAGCTATAATGTATGGGCGCAATTACGAGGTTATGATCAAACTACATGGCACTTAGCAATGAGTACAGCCCCATCTCCTCCAGCAAGTCTTCATAGAAGATCATTCCTACACCCTCCATGAGTATGGAAGGCAAGTCTTCACACCGACCTAAGCCCAAGTCCAGAACTCCTTCAGCGCTGCCACAGCTCAGCACAGCCCACTAAACCCCAATCGTACTAGCCAGCCACCCAGCCAGTCAGACACCATCCAGACCTCAGCATCACTCTGTCCTCGAAAGCAGTAGTAGTAAGTAACCCAGTATGACCTACCAGTGATGTAGCTATGCACTATATGTGCAAAGGTACTAAATAATTACCACCCATTCATCCATCCATCCATCCATCCATTCAGGAACCTTCCATTACCCACGCAAGCAAGCAAGCCAGCCACAATCCCGCCTCACTTTTTTCTCTCTCCTTCGCTTCCTTCCATGTCGTTATTATTATTCTGTCTCGAAGTTTACGGGGGGTGCTGGCCCGAAGACTAACCCGGATTCGGGTCTAGCCTTGCCTGCTGACCTGGCAGTAAGGCACTAATCCAATTACAGTGCTCTAGTGGACTAATTGAGTTAGTAGTTTGCTGTCTGGTGTTTACTTACTTACTAAGATATTACATAAGAGGGATGCAGGCACAGCTGGCGATAGTTCATAGGAGGGTCACAAGGGGGTCACGTCACGTAAAGTAGGTTGCTTTTTGCTTTGGTTTTTGCTTTTGTACCTGACAGACGGACGGGCTGGATGGGCACGGTTCGGTTGAGTGGGCTGGATGGATGGATGGATGTAGCGGTGTGCTTACTAAGGTTGGTGTATTTGTTGGGAGTCAATGAGAGTATTACTGTTCTGGAGAGGTTGTCAAGTACGGAGTAAGAGCATAGATGAGTGAGTGATTTCTCTGTTTCTTTCTTCGGAATATATGAGTGTAGCGGTGAGTAGTAAGTTTGTTTCTCCATAGGTAGTAGGTAGGTACGTGGTCTGATTTACTCCATCATTATTAGTATGGGATGGGATGGGATGTGACTACCCGAGGATATTGTGATTGGAGGGGTGGGGGAGCATTAATTATTACTCCATATTGCTTAGTATGTCTCAATAATCATGGGGATAATCTAATGAAAAGAAAAGGAGGAGGTGAAGCGAGTTGAGTCGGTAAGTAACTAAGTATGGTTCTGCTCAATCTAGCTCTAGTGTACTAGTGTAGCTTACTCTGCTAAGGTAGGTAGCTTACTGACTAGATCCGGAAGTAGTTGGTTGCTGATGGTAGTAAGTGGTAGTTAGTCTGGGGATGATAATACCTGATATTAAGCTTGGAGCTATCTATCCATCTATCATTTACTGAAGCGTTTGAGCTATTTTCCATCATTAGCATCAGCATCAGCATCAGCATCATCATCAAGACTATTATTGGGAGAATGAGCTCTTTTTGTCCTGCTTTGCTTCTTGCCTAATAATCGGGCTCTTGAAAGTATGGTTCTTATTGCGACTAGAGAAAAGCTAAGACCGAGATAAGGGGGTGGTTGATCCATCCCCTCCTGAGTAGGCCTGTCTCGAGTACAATACACAGCATTGATAGTGATTAATCGAGTCGGTGATGGATGCGATGTTCAAATTACCTACCTAGCTAAGGTAGGGTAAAACCGTACTTTGTCCGTGTGACAGGAATAGTAGTAGACCACTTGGGTAGGACGACGACGACGACGACGACTGCTATTTTGGACTTTCGCGGGTCGTTTCTAATAAACTGGAGCTTGCTGTGCTGCCAGCTAACACAGTAAGTTTCCGTAGATAGTAAGGAAGTCAATTAGGTGTGGAGGAAGTGATCCACTTGGGAAGAGGAGATGTTCGGTTCGGACAACAGCAGTAATGGTCTCGACTGGGAAATGTGCCTGAGGTTCCCTTCCACTCTTACTGTTTCGGGATGGATGGGGCCAGCACCAATTGGGTTAGACGTTATTTATGGTTGGGTACGGGAAGTGTAATATTGGCTCGTTATTAATAGTTGGGCCGGCTGTCAGGTGATCTGTGGGGGTGGTATAAGGCTGTAAATAACCAGCATGGTGACAGCTCTGGGCCAGTCATCGGACGCATCCCTGGTTTTAGGGGGTAACATTCCCAGGGGGAGCTGCCTTCCCGTGACTCAAGGCGTGTCGGTAAGGTATTGGGCCTTACCAGCAACTGATTCCACCTTTGGACAGCATCAGCAACTGGCAAAAGTTGAGTTGTCGACAACAAACTAGACTAGTCAGTTAGTTGCTACTAAGGTATAGTAGTTACCCAAAGGCAAGGCCAGTTGGTGGAATGACCGCCTCAGCCACGTACCGCCACATCACCCAGGCAATCCGAAGGGGAGGCAAGACGAGAAAGGAGCGAGGATTCTGCCTGTCTGTCCAAGTCTCCAGCCACAGTCTCCTGAGCATTGCCTGATGACTTGACGGGCGGTGCCGAGGGAGCCTGCCTGCCTGTTGCTCCCAGGCTCTTTCTGTCTCTCTCACATTCTCCTTCAGGCTCCAGGGCTCAGGCTCAGGCTATCAGCATAACTCTCCTATCAGAATCATCCCCCAAACCCAATTGAAACACTTACTCATCCCCCCCCATCGTGAGAGTGTCACTAGAATGACGAATCACCTGGTTTGCTGCCTCGTCTTTTCGTCCTTGAATTTCGCCCCTGGCAGGGGCGGTGGATACCACCCCCGGGCGAGTTCGAGGCTTCGACGAGGATTCCAGACATTCGATTTCCCTTTTGCCTGGGTGTCCCCATGACGTCTGTGTCGCGGACTTCTTTTGGATCGACGATGCTTCGTAGCATGTAACTAGCATGTAGCATAGTATGTAGCAGGCCGCCGCAGGCTGGCAATGGGGGGAAAAATGGAAGGCAGCAGAGCCCACCGACTAGTCAGTCCTGCAAGATGATCGATCTGCTTTCTCCGTCATGGCTGGCTTAGTGAGTGAGTTTACCGTCTAGATCGAGTCCCTGGGGGAAGCTAAACTGAACGGGATCTGATTCGACTTGATCCTTTTCTGGCTTGGAGCATTATTCTTGCTTTGCTTCTATTCTATTTCCGTTTGGATACCGTTATACTTCCCTCCTCCGGGGAAAACATACAAAAGCCTCCTGCCGTCCGTCTGGAATCGCTTCCTTTCCATCTACCACAGACTACTACTATCTATCATAACTCTGCAACTACAACATCTTCAACCCTCAGACTACTACTTGGTCTCTGACTACCTCATCTCTACCTTCATCTCTCCTCGTTTCCCATCGTCTTCTCTCACCTCTTCTCTCACCTCTTCTCTTACACTTCGGATTTTGGCCTCGTACTGAGCCTTGCTCCGCCACCGACTGCCATCCTTATACTACTACTATATAAATCTACTTTCCTCTCTGGCTCCTACTGTCTACTACCTCATCTCACCTCCTATCTTCCACCAAGCTACCAAGCTACTACTACTACATTACAATCTACTCAACTCTCTCATCTCTCTCTTTTTTTTTTACCCAACCATCAATATGCCTCACAAAGTCAACGACTCCAATTCCACCCTGTCCAGCAGTGGCAGCAGCGGTGACCGTGTGGTGGTTTCTGATCTACGAGGTATGTCTTCCCCATCTGCACCTTCATATCTACTATCTAGTACATCTTGCTTGATCACGGAAGCTAATCCGGCGTCTGTCTCTCCTTAGGGCCCAATGCTGTCCCACGCCGTACACAACCCCCGGTGATTGTCCACAACCGGGGAGGGCAGATCTACGATGAAACGAGACCTTCTGATTGGGACAAGCAACGGTGGAAGTAAACCCCATCCTGGTTCCTCAAGCTCCCAGTCGGGGGGAGTTCCCTTCCGGAAGCGCTGCTGGACAGTTGCTGGGGACTATTTGTCGCCGGAAGGGCCGATTATCCGCGCGGCTTCGTCCAAAAGTGAGGCGACGGATCGACAGCTGGTCTGGTCAACTATCTTTTCGGCGTCTCTCTCGTTCTCGACCGGCAACCGACGGATGGGATGGCATGCTCTGGACTCTCGTCACCGCCCCCCTGACAATGCTGCATTGCAGCGCGGCCATCCTTTTGCTGTCTCTGTCTTGTCTGTCTCTCTCCCCGTTGCCGTCGGTTCCCTTGCGAATCGTTGCCCCGGATTCTTGTCTTGCCCTTCCGTCGAGATTACCTTCTGGACTTGATTTCCTTTCCCGATCATTGTACACTATTGTGACCCTTTTTGGTTTTTTGACGCCTTTTTCGGATTCCGACGCCATGCCCTTGTATTATTTGGTTTCTTTTACCCTTTCGGAGATTTCGTGTTCCTGTTGCTCCGTGTCTCCTCACAACTGCGATGAGGCACACGTGTTACATCCCTCCATCCATCCACTGGCAAGACTGGGTGAGGACGGACACCAACTCTAACCCGGTTGTGTCTATCTATGCTCAAGACAGCGACGGCATAGTTCCGGGCCAGCCCTTGCTTCTGCCGTCCCTTGTCAGGAGCAACCACGACTCCGTCTTCCTATCCCTTTTTTTTTTTTTTTATTTCTTCTTTTCAGGCTGTACCATATCGTGCTGATGCTTTTTCTCTGCCCTCCCTTTTCTGCTTTTGTCATTCCGCATAGCGTGGGTTTGATCTTGCAGGACTACCTTTTGTCGGCTCCTGTTCTAATTATGTGCTTCATGTCATATCACGGTCATGTCATGTCATTCCTTTATTCGCTCGTTCGCTTTCTCGTCCGACTTGGACGCGGAGTCATCTGCATCGCCTATACTCAGGCCATGACAGTTGCCGACCGGCCCAGTCTGGGCGGGTGGGCAGGTGCTGCGCTGGTCGCGGGCTACCTGCCTCTTACATACACACACCCTTGATGTACCATCATTGCTCGACATGACTGATGCTTTACTGCTACCAACTACTATCCATCTGCTGTTGACTGGTTTGGATTGTTGTCGTTTTGATGTCACACACACTATTTCACAGGACTTACTTGGATACATTCTAAGTGAGGTTGTACCAGATAATCTAATTGTCATGAATACTATTACTACTACTACTACTACTACTACTACTACTACTACTACTACTACTACTACTACTACTACTACTACTACTACTACTACTACTACCACTACTTACCACAAGTGTCTGCATACATCCATCCATCCACAGTGTTGTTATCTCCCATTGACTTTCTCTGCACCAACCCGACTAAACCCAATCCATCCCCCACCGCATACACTCACTGCATCCATAGCCCAGGAAACTGAAAACAATAAACCCAAGTCACACTGACAACACCCTTTCCCCGCATTTCCATTGCATTACATTCTTCCTTCCTCCACTTCTTCCCCGTGGCATGATAACCTCCCACATTTGATTAACACTTGGTCCTATTATTTTACTCAGATCCCGACAGACACACACGCAATCCCCACAATTCAATAACATTTGACATATGTGCTGTGTTAATGTGCTGGCATCTTATTACCCATACAGACATGCATACAGACATAATAGAATCAAATCCAGAATCAGTGAAATACTATCCACTTCTGCAGATACACACAGAATGACATAGATAGAAGGGAAGAAAGAGTTGGGTCTAGAATCACCATGACCAGTAGGCAAAGCCAGCACATCACCTGACCACACGCAACGCAACGCAACGCACACGACATCGTCTGTGCTGCAAGATGCTCAGGCAGATAGGCAGGCAGGCAGACATACCCTTCAGTTTTATCTCACATTTACCTTTCTAGGTAGGTAGGTAGGTCGACTAGATTCCTCCGCAGGGAAACTAGACTAGACTACATGGGCAATATGCACAGCGGCGGCATCAACGGCCAGCCAGATCGGAAAGCGACAAACAGACAAACAACACCTGCCTGCCTACAGATAGCAGGAAGCAAGCAAGCAAGCAAGCAAACACACAATCGCGGTTTCAACGCAGCCAAGATAATTCATCTCGTATTAGCATTTATTGTGTTTGGTTGTTGTTTCTACTACATAAATGAATAAATACTAGTATTTACCAAAGAATACTTTATCACTCCGTAAGATAGTAGTTCATCTATTGTGGACATAAATTGCTTACTACTACCAACTAGTAGTGTCATCTGCGAATGTTGCCATGTATCTATTCAGATCTCTGGAAAATAGATCCCATTGTGGCAGCTGTAGCCAAGACGGACTGGCCCGAGTCGGGCATGTCGGGCACTCAACTCGTCGTGCGTGTATGCACGATTCATGGGTTCGGTTTACATAGTGTGGAATTGTCTAGAGCATACATATGTATGTAGCCTACTCTGGAAGGGGTATAATACTAGTAGTAGTGTGATGGGGTATGTGTATGTCTTGTGTGTTGTGTGTACTGTACTAGCAGTCGCTCAAGATCTGACTTTCCATGGGAGATAAGGAAAAAGGAAAGCAAATGCAAGATCGAACCACAAGGAAACAAACTAAGGAGATAGATCAATCGATCGATAGGTATCATCCGAGTGAACGAGGGAAAAAAAAAAGAAAGGGAAGAAGGTATAGTAGTAAGGTAATGGAATGGTCAATTTTCGTCCACCGGTCCATAATGTTGTGATGACAGATCTTCTCTCTCTCCAACTATTAAATAACAAAATTCATATCTGTTTGGTATTTTCTCATTTGCATTTTCCTCCCCGGACCACACAGATTTTTTTGGTCGGTTTTGACAGTGTTCTTTTCTGCTTTTTTTGGGGGACCTCATTCCACCAGGAAGAAAACAGAGGCCGTGGCTCAGTGAGGCACGGTGCAGGGTCTTGTGTGCGACCTGCGTGTATAGAAGGAAACATGGGGTCAGAGGTTAAGCCACATTAATGTTCTTTACGTAGAGGGGTTGTGAAGGGGACAAGGTTGATGAAAGTGTGAAAGGGGTAGATAGGGGGAAAAGGGTAGGGAGAACAAGAAACGAAAAGTTAAAAACGAAACACCCAGCTTGGTCATCGCAAGCCACTAAAGGAAGCGCAGGAATGTATGACGCTACCCATGGGCTGCGATGGAAAACGAAAACATAAATGCAAATGTACTCGAACGGCTCGCGCTTGCAATGCTAGTTGTAGAAGAAGAGAAATAACAAGCTGAATGCAACGGGGGGTAGTCCCGAGAGATGATATGCGGAAGACAAGGAGATGGGGTATGCAATTTTTAGACAAGGAAACAAAGATGAAAATAGAACGAAATTGGTGTCGAAATAGAACCAGGTCTGTATAGGTTCCGGTTCCAACCAGATCGGCATTTATGGCACAAGATGCAAAAATACATCGTATTCAGGTATCGAGCAATATGTTGGTATATTATTGACGAGCAGCTCCCTCAACCCTCGTGTCGAGTTCAGTAACCAGTGCTGAATGACATTTGGGGCTGGAGGAACTGTTGTTGGTACGTGGTATCCTGCGAATACGCGTGAGAGCTCACGTACTGCATGCTGGGCGGGGGTGTCGGCGACGGCGAGCAAGCACTAGCTCCTGCTGTGCCTTTGGCAAAGGTGGGATTACCACCATTGGCAAAAGCCTCGTTCTCCGGGGTGATCGGCGGTGTGATATAACCGTGCGCCATGGCCGATGATTGGGTCGCCTTCTGCGGTGTAGCAAGCCCAATCTCGCCTTCGTATGGCTTGGGCTCGGGTTGTACGACGTCCGTTTGCGGGCTGGGGGGCGTGTAGCTTGCGATCGAAGCTTGACGGGCAAGGAATTGTTCCAGCACCTTGGACACACGGGAGTAGTGAGCTGAGGAATACTTCCTGGAAAGCACCTGGGAGGGTTGGTGAAGCTGCTGCGACAACCCCACGAGCGTCATCGAGTCGTACTGGGATGCCCATTCTGTGTGACGAGGCTGAGTCCGGTTCAGGATGCAGCGCGCAAGAGCCAGCGAGGCCCGGGCGAGATCCGACGACGGCTTGGACACGAATTCCCGATGGAACAGCGAGATCTCCGAGATATACAATGCCAGGTGCTCGACCTCGGCATCATACGGGCAATCCATCACAGCCATCTGCAAGAAGCTATCGACAGTCGGGTGTCCAATGGTCCACCCCAGTGTTTGCAGCACATGCCACTCCATCTGGATGAACATGTCGTCGTCGTATAGAGAACAGCACATCGACTTGAGCTCCTTGATGGTAGGCACGCGGTCCTTCTTGTCTCCATACTTGGCTGCGATGAGCAAGGCAGCACATCCAACGAGTTGATAGTGTCTCTTGTAGACAACACGCTTGGAGCAGTAACGGTCAAGAAGGTTGATGGTGAGGAAGAGGGTCGATGGCAACAGCTGGAATGCAGTGTGGGCTTCAATCAAGAAGTCGAGCAGGTATGGACGCATGAACCACTGGATCTCGGTCTGGATATCGATCGACTCGACGTCCGGAAGCGTAGCAGCATCCATGTCCAGCATGTGCGCCAGAACGTCGTCACGGAATTCCTCGCTGGTAATCTTTGACAGCTGTTCCGCCATGGCGTACTGACGCTCACGAGCCATCAACTTGGCGTGTTCTTTCGGATCCATACGGGGGGCAGGGAACTCGTCGTAGGTCTCGACGAAGAAAGTATCGCAGGGCTGGTAGCTCGATGTGGGGCGCTTGTGGTAGGCCATGATGTCGGTCTGGTATTAACGTCGACCCAAAGAGTATTCAAAGAACGGACCTGATAACTGTGTCGATCAGGAAACGACGGAGGTGAGAGAATGACAGTCGTCGGATTAAGGGATTAATGAGTGGAATTAGTTGGGAAATATTAATGAACGGCCACAAGAGACGATAGCCTGGTATTGAAAAGGAGAAGGATGGGTAGACAGCTGGAGTGGAGCCTGGTGATGGCCGGAGCTAAAAGAGGGTATTATTAGTTAAACGTAATATTAAATTAAAAGATTAAGGAAATTTGTAAACGAGTGTGAAGTTCAAAAGGATGGTAATGTAGATATAGAGGTGAAGGGAAGGTTTGAAAAGGTGAGAAAGGAAGGCCCAAAGATCGAGGGCGGAAAAGGGGATTCCCTGGGGATAAAGTATACTAACCCAGATTGAAAGCCTTCGGGCAGAGGGCACGATGCAACCCTTACCGTGACGGCGTGTCTGGCATCTAGGCTGGCTCAGGAGCAGGCAGGAATGATCCGTTGAGATGGGACTCTGTAGGATACCAGTCCGAAAGACGAAGCACGAGTAAACGCCTTCGCCCTAGGAACCGATGCTTGAGCTGGCAAGCCTGGGTGTGCTCCGGAATGTGGAAACAGGAGCACAGGCACGAACCCTATGAAGGGGTGGGGAAATCGTCAGGGGGGGAAAAGGATTAAAGTGCAAAGAAAAGAATGACCACCACGTACAGTTTGCAATCCAGTGTCTTTTCGAACGTCCCTGTACAGGACTGGAATGGTGTTGCGACAGGGGAAAAGCGCTTAGAGGGCCAAAATCCACATTAAAGGGAGGGAGGCTAAATCGAGGCCAAATTGAGATATTAATCAAGAAAAACCTGTCTCCTGAAGGAGCAAAAAGAAAGGTTAGCCATCATCATCTAACCATCACTTTTATTTCCTTGAATCGCCCATTGCGACTAAGAGGCAAACGACTTCTTGGTGGTCTGCCAATGTATGAGGGCCCGGGTCGACCCCGTCAAATATGCACGAGCTGTGTGCTACGCATTCTTTCTTCAGGGCACATGAGGATCTCCCCCTTCCGATCCACCTCGTTGCTTAAGATAAGGCCGATCCTCTCCATCTGGCAACATGTTTTGTCGGATGGAGACAGGCCAAGGCTGAGAGGAAAAGACATCCGACCTTCAGCACCTGCATTCCCTGCCCACACCCAACTCAAAGAGCCATTGTTCACGACCCCCGACCTTTACGCAGCCACTGTTCGAATATCCTCTATCCAAATCTTCCACTGTATCATTCCCGACGTATGATTGCGATCGTCTCGGACTTCAGGTTTCCAGGCCTCGAAGGAAGTGTGGCAGGTCTCGGAAATCGAAATAGGGAATTGCTGGCTTCACTTGAATTGGGCTCATGGGAAACTCGCTCAGCTGGTAGGAAGCTTCACTGACGTCTACTGACATCGGTGCCAGGTAGGCTGAACTATCATCCAGAGTGTCTCCCACTTCCACACAGACACACCCACAACTCTTGCCCCGACCATCCAAGCAGGGGTGAAAAGGGGGGTTGAAGGACAAAGGAAAAAAATATGTTCTCACCTCCCAAAGGATCACAACCAAGATATAGAAATGTACAGAAAGCGTCGAAGAAAAAAGAACCCTTCTCTTTCGCTCTTCTAACCGGCAGGAGCTGAAGTCAGGGGAGTCTATCCGTCGATGTCACGGATAGGGCACCGGTAGTCGGATAGGGGGGAATTCGCCGTTTGAGTTAACAAACGTCGAAAGGGGAGGACGTCGAAGCGAGAGCTGACGGACACGGCTCGACTGGAGAGCTGGTGCAACTGGCTGAAGAAGTGGTCGACTGTTATACTACAGTCAACGGTCTTTTCTGCCTCGTAGACCAGGCTCAGTTCTCTCCTAAGGAATTGACGGGTGGTAAGGAAAGGGGGAGGAGGGGAAGGGAAGGAAGGGAGAGGAGGTGAAGATAAGAAGAATGAGGAGGAGAGGAAAGTGAGGAGGAGCTGCTCTCTCTCCAGACGGGTGTAGTAGAAAGAAGAGAAAAAGAGGATTAAAGAGATGGGACGAGGGCCGGAGATAGAAGTCTCGAGAGGATCGCTGCAGGTTAGCTCGCCCACGCTGTATCGTAACCCATGACGCTTTTCCCGTATGAATGGTGGTATTGGGTATCGCGTACCGAGGCTGGAAGGTAAGCGTATGGTTTTGTTTTAGTTTCATCTCGGTTTCCAACGGTATCTCACCAACCAGAATGGGCGTTGGCTGGCTGGTTTCTCTTCTTTCTCTACTTTCAGCTCCATACGTTTGATCTCTACGCCTAATAATTCATCAAAAACTCGTGTTCAAAGGTACGCTTAAGGTGCTTGTGAAACATGCTAAAAGGGCTACAACTCAAGCATGTCCTCCATGGCCAAAATTACCATTTACTGTGTTGTGGAACAAGCGGAAGCACCATGAGGAAGCCGGGGCGCTGGTGTATCTTACTGGATGATACCAGGTAAATGGGTAGAAACTGAGCCCTCACAGACCAGAATCACATTGAGCAATAGACACTCCTTTTGCAGAACCTCGCATCGGATACACCCTCGACCTAACGCGGCCTGAGCCCCGGAGGAGCGGCCCTTACTGTGAAAAGGGAAAGTCTATTACCCTAGAGGTACATACATACAGGCAAAGTACGTAAGGGTATGGATGCGGTACAGCGGTAGAGACGGGAGATACTGGAAGGTACTGGGCTTGGGGCGGGTACCTACTAGTAGAAGTTAGTATACCACCGTATAGTTACGGTCGGCCGTATGCCTTCGTCCTTTGGTTACCTATTCTTCATTTGGGACCAGTTTTGATCAAGGAGGGGCACAGGCATCATCACTTTTCTGATACCTTTCAACATTATCCACTACTTTCTTTCTTTCCAGGTTGTAGATCCCCTCAATCCAGGGAATCAACAAGCCTGGAGAGAGGGGGTTTTCTTTTGACGTTGCAAGTTGCAATGCTAGCTGGAGATTGACTTTCTTTGCTTCCGGGCTGTACCAGACGACTGGTCTCGGTTCACCCGTAGGGGAGACACCTGTTTTTCGATGGCGGCCTCTCGACCCTCTAAACCTGCAAAGTCCCAGCACCAGCGCTCCTTCGGTGGGCTTCTGGGTGGGGTGATCTCCCTCGTCACCGGCCAGTCCTCACCAGCCATTGCCTCCCTGATTCAGGCCAGGAACACCTCCGGTCCTTGGCTCCGTGACCTTTCTTTTTCTTTCTCTTCTCTCGCGGGCCCTTAGGATGCGACGAAGAGGCGTACCGTGTATGTATCGTTATTGGAGCTGCGATTTCTCTTGCATTAGGCCTTCCCTGCTAACTCACACACACTACCTACCAAGTTAGGGTGAGCTGTGTGTCAGTTGCGCTCTAGTCAATTAGTCCGTAGACAAATCGACTTCAATTGTGGGCTGCGGTCTGCAATGTGACGATTAACTAAACTAGTCCGGATGGCCTACCAAAGTCGTCGTTATCGAGGAATTTTAATCTATCGGTCGTAGTTGAAATAATGTGATCCCTACAGTTAATGCGACCAATGCTGGACACATTATCTCTATGGTCGCAATTGATCTTCCCATTTCACTGAAACCCTCGATCTATCCATCCTATTCTTTAACTCGTCAGGTCGACTAGGGTCGGGCAACTTTACCTATCCTTCAGCATATCATAAGGACGAAATGCTATTTGACGACTCGCTCGGATTACCCACAAATGCGGAGTAGCCGACTGGGACTTTTTTCAGCTGGCGACTGCCCGTAATCATGCTCTCGATCGAATGGTTCGCATTTTTTACTTTGGTAGGTAGAGATGTACGTAAGTATGTAAGTTGTCTTTCATACATACAGTAAGTAAGTATTAGAAAACCAGACTGACATCCCGTACCTTACTACTACATAATAAGTAGTATCTAGTCAGTTCCAGTCCATAGTAAGTAGTGGGAGAGCGGTCGCGTCTCTCCCTCCCTATAGCCGTCATCGACTGCTGACTGGCCCGACCCGCACTGGGCTACGGTACATCGCGTATCCTTCTGCGACCATTCACAACCAGTCGCTACCATGATTGCTCTTACGCCCCTCGTCTGAGGCTTGTCGTTGTACAGCTCGTGATCCATCGACTTTGGCCTCTTCTCCGAAAACCCTCCTCGTAGTCCGTTGGTCTCTTTGTTTCGCACATCACAAGGGTTTTTCTTCGTCTCGAACCAAAATATGACGAGAGGTTGTGCTGTTGGATCATATGCAAGATGATCGGCGGGAGAGGGGTAGCCAGAGCCCAGGCCCACGGTACGCAGTTCAACTTGACTCTACTGTTTCAATTCGCCTTTTTTTCAGCTCATTGACTGAACCAGGCACATCTTGCTTTGTACTGCATCTTGTAGTGTGCTCGATTCACACATATTACTGCGCACAAAAGAAACGGTGAGAAAATTAGATAAGGCCTGCCGTGATGTGTATCTATCCGGGTACTACACGGTCTCTGCGCCGTAAGGCAACCTTCAGTATTACAGTAGGAAGATGGTCATATCCAGATGTTCATCACCCACCCATATTGGCTATTCCGAATCCCCGGCATATCGCACACATTCCTCTACTAAAAAATTAAGTGCCATAGATGCAGCGCAGCTGCACTGGTGCGAGATGACCCGAGTAACCCATACCGACAACGCTTTTCTTTCAGTTCCTGAGCCCACTGCGATCTGTCACGCAGGTTTCCTTGCGGGGGTGCCCTCCCGCAACTTACGGTCCATCCAATGGCTCGGATTAGACGAGGTCTGGTTCGCGGATCTAAGATGGTGTCATGAATGCTACTTATAGGATCACGACGATTGATAAAGGATGCGATTTGGTGTGAATTTTACGTAGAGCAGGATTGACCCGTGGACATTGCACATGTGGTCGAACCGACAATCAGTGACACGCAACCTAGTACCTGTCGAAATCTACCAGAGAGGTAACGCCGTTCGAGGACGTAACCCTGAATGCGTACCTTTCGATCGTCTACACCGATAAAGAATGTAAGTAAGCTAATTGAAGATATTGTGGTATCGCTTCTATGAGCTACTCAACGTTTGACCTGTGACTTAAGAAGCCAAAATATGACCCATGGTAGACCTCAAGGGAGTAAGGGAAGTCTAAATCGCAAGGCTGGCTGAAAAGTCTTCAACGGCCAAAAAGCTAGTTTCATGAAAGAGTGAAGCATCACAGAGCTCTGGAAACATCCACACTGAGCTTTGTTGAAAACTCAAGGTAGAGTGGTGGCTAGAACGCTCTCGATACTCGGCGCAGGGATAGTTTTGGTTCCGAGCCTCGAATTCCCGTATCGTCTACTATCCCTGGTCCTCAAAAGCCATGCCTATTCAGAGGACGGGAGTGGCTGAGACGGGCTGATATTGTCACTTGTCATTTGTCCGTTCTCCACTGAGCTTTATGTCTGTTGCATCTGGTCTTGGTGTATAATTGAGGTGGCTAACTCTGGTCACAATTGCAGGCCGTCCTTGCTTTAGACTGATCTCTTCCAGTCTTTAACTCTTACCTTAGTAGGTCATGCTGCCGATTCCGGAATGCACGCGCTTTGGTCCTGTGGACAAGATACGATGCATCTAGCTGTATTCTTATCGTGATGGAATGCTGGATAGGGAACATTCTCACTACGCGGGAGAAAGGAACAACCTGCGGGACCGGGGCATCTTACGAGGATGTTTCCTTCATTCATCCATTATTACATGACCAAACAATTCAGATTCGGACTCTCTCTCGTCAGCACATTCATTCGTGATGAACAATAAGGGGTAAAAGGGGCACTTTAGTGCGGACTAGGATGTTTGCTTCATCACCTCCAGGCGCCAAGCTGCCAGCCGATCGCGATTAGTAGATTACCCTCTATAGCACTCGTGTAATGAATGTCTAAGCTGTACGTGACTTGTGGCGAGCGATCGGAGTGAGGCTTAGCTATCTGAACATGTTCTTTGCAGATCTTGGACTCATATATCCTGTAAGGAATCAATTGGTAAGATGTGGACAGAATCTCGGTAACTATCAAGTTGCCCAGGTAATAGCAACTGACCGGGCAAATGTTGACCATTGGGATTTTTTCTATTTCACTACGAAACCATCGAATATGAGTGAGGCTTACATTATTGGTACTTATTCGCTTCAGGACCCTTATGAGGCTTCTGGAGCAATGCACGGTAGCCGCTGGAGCCTATCCGCCTTCTTCCCGTCCAATACATCCGCTTACCTTCCCCATCCCGCTGGGGTATGGAAATAGAAGACAAGACCCTAGCTGGAGGAACAATCTATTTCCTCCTTCGTTGTATGGACATTCGCCGCATGGGGTACATGTATAATGATATTATGGAGATATCATCATGCATGTTGAGTTGATCCAGAATGCGTTGCTTCGTAACCCCATCCTTAAAGTGGCTAGCTATTCTAAGCGTCCTCCCGGCGACGTATCAATAGACATCTCCTTGCTGGGTACCTGCAGACTCCAATTCGATACATTCTACGGAGTACTCCAATCAACGAATCCTTGTTTAACCTGCAGACTTGTAATCGTCCTTGCACTGATATTATGCATTCCTTTGGATGGAGTACATGGTCATAATTTCTCCCCAGGCCAACCATGAGTTCCATACGTCGATGATTGGTCGCGTGTAACATCCCGTACTACTATTTTGCCCCCCAATGCAAGGGCCGTTCTGACGGAATATCCTCAGTGCATATCATTATTTCCTGTAGTATCTAGATAGCGCCAGAAGGGCCGAGATTCTTCTTCTTCCTTTTCCGACATACGTATCACTCTAGGATACGAACTAGTTCGTGCACTATATGACTCGGAGAATTCCACTGTTTTCTTGATGTAATCACCGCTCCACACTAGGGGCATAGCAAAGAGGATACCCTGATATATCGGTGAGCCTTGACATATTAACGTCCATGACTTAGAATCCTTCCTGCCGACGCTCGACGGGGTAAAAAAAGAGGACCATCTCCTAACTAGTCCCTATCCATCTCTCGTAGACTGAAAAGGTGTCATACAATCCTTCCCAATACACTGGTCTTTCTACCTCTTTCTACGATGCTTCCTAGTTTCCTGTACCATATAAACACACCGCATTCGGCACCCGAAATTACAACCCACTGCGGATCTTGGAAGCAGAAAAAGTGGTCTAGGAATTCCCTGGAATTCTAAATTTCGTAGAGGCAGGCACACGGGCGGGGAATTAGTAGCCCTTCAATATTTTGACCCCATTCCCTTTGCGAACGACATGAAAAGGCCAACAACAGCCATCACCAGTAAATCGAAGCTGTCACCGACTCGCCCAGTCACCGCCCACCTATATAAAACGGAATTAGTTAACTACTAACTTAGCGGGCGTTTCTCAACCAGAAAACGAGGCGGTTTCTAAGGCCCCGCAGTTCCGACCTTTTGGTCCACACTTAGAAATCGGCTTACGATATTCGGAGCGCTAGCCATACGCACAAAATGGCGGTAGCCGGGAGGCAACGGGTACAGTATGCAAAAACGAAGTTCGACTTGCCATCAACGGATGAGGTAGATGGGTGTGGGCCAAAGTGGGCAGACAAGCAGAAATTTTTCTCCTAGAAAGAAACGGTCGGAGGAAGCCAAATTTGTCAAAGAAAAAATCAAAGTAGTTTCCTTGGGTCGTGAGAACCAGATGTTAGAGAGGAAATATTCTAGAAGATTTGATGAAAGGATTTCGTTTTTGTATAGACACAAAAGTACTACTCTACTACCTGCACCACCAAAATTCTACATCACATTGGTATCTGCTTCATCTTCCCTCGGTATATTGCATGTTCAATCCCGGATTGATCGTCGGATTTCTGCAGTAATTTGATAGTAGTTGTAGTAGTGGCTCAACAAGTCAACAATTTGGATCTGATCAGACCATCTTTGGGTAGGTCAGAAGTTTCTTTATACTATGTTCTTCAAATCATGCTACGTGTATCACTTTCGGTACTCTACCTATCCTCATGTTCGGTGTATTCGTCAACTTTCATCGGCTTCAAATTTTGCTTTTCTCTTTCTTTCTCTTTCAACATCTAAAGTTACCGGTATTGATCCATTGAGACATATACGTACTTTACTTGTTTTTCATTGTTGCGATATCCGTTTCGGGTCCACTACGTTGACTTTTACCTAACGATTCCTAAAGCCTGTGTATACGCCGCGTAGTTTAAGGTGGTGGACGAGACATGGATGTCAGAGGTTGTCGGCAAGCAAGCGCAGCACAACTTGGCGCGAACCGTCTAAACTCTCCCCCATTGATCTTCATTATTTCGTCATTGAGTCCTCAGTCTTTTGTCATGATCTAAACCCATCGAGGGAGTGCAAGGGAGGTACATATCACCAGGGAACATGTACCTCGTAGCAATGTGGGGGAAGAGGAAAAATTTTTTATCTTCCACTGCAACGATGTGCATCACCGATCTGAGGTATTTTACTAAGTAGTGGGCAAATGTATCCCACAGTCCCTCTAAACATGTGGAAAAGATATCCACGTTGCCCGTCAAGTATTTCAACCGAATGCTACATTGACTGGACGAATAGAGACCCTGCCAATTAGTGACAAACGCCCATCCGACGACGCGAGTTGCCCAAACCACACCAAAAAATCTCGAGACAATATGACCTTTTCTGGTAAGGTCAGGTCCTCTACGACTGGGGCAGCGGAGAGCCTCAACCATGGTATGCTGTGTGCTTTTTGACGGCCGGATTTCTATGGGTCCAGGTTGTTTTCTGTCAGGTTCTGCCTGTCCTGCCTGGTAGGTACCAGAGGGTACCGGTTGGTAGCAGTGTATGCCTTGTATGAATACGCCCCAAGACGTATGCTGAAGACGATACCGAGTAAGGGTCCTTACCTATACATACAGACCGAGATCGTACTTACATGGCGCTAGCTGGGATTTGGCTTAGTGCAAAACAGAAGAGCGGGCCCGATTGTAGTGTAAATAAACGACTCCACATTTAACCCCAAAGCTCTAGAAAAAGAAAGATTATTACTCAGCGGTCAGTTCAGCCTTGTGCCGAATCATATGTTACTGCTGTCCCCTTTGGCAGGGGTGAAGTAATATGTGGAATTTGTCAATCGAGATATTGTCATCCAGGATGAATATCTTGAGTCATCTAATTCCAGTTGTCGGTCGCTCAATGGCAGAACGCGTTCAAGACTACTAACTAGGGGACGGGATGCATCGATAACTCCGTCCTCGGGGCGCGTTCTGTATTCCCTCTTTTAGACCCATGTCGTCATTGAGTCTCGCGTCCCACGTTTCGGGTCTCCGGCCTGCCTGTTCTGGAATCCGGAGTTACGAGCAGCACAGGTTGGAGGTTATTGGCCCATCGTGATGCTTTTATTAAACGTCCAATTGCTAAGGAGTAAGTACTAACTAGTGTTTGCTGCTAATAATCTGGCCCCGGGCTTCAATAATGACCGTGATATAACAATGGAGCCACTCCTATTTCTATCCATTTGGACCTCCTGAAAAAGGAGTTGGGGATAATCCGCTTCGCTTCTATACTTGTTCTGGGTTTAATCTCCTGGCAGGACCGGGAGATCAGACATCCGATTGATGCCGTCCGTCCTGAACAAGCCACGTTTCCCTTCAGCTCTCATCTCCACGCCTCAGGCACGCTCGCGCGGCCACCCTCCTTCCGGCGGGTTAAAGGGGGAGGGGAAGAACTCTCAAAAGATGACATAAACTGGAAATTGAAAGTCTTACCCGCGGAGCTTGGCGTGGATTGTGATGAAAAGCCCTTTACGCGTGATGATTCGACGATCGCGTTGGCAGACCATCGCGCGCTTATTGCCAATCTGGCGTGTCTCTTCAATGGCGTTCTCCGGATAACCCTGGTCTAGAAACTAGAGAAAGCCTTGCATCTGCATCCCGCTTTCCGTGCCTCGAGACTTTGCCACTAGTCCGGGGAAGGATTACGGTTTTACCATTCTTTGGTGCCGCTTTTGGGTGCAGCGATAGTTCACACTGGCGAAGGTCTACTTGCATTTTGGTTCTGTGCCCCGATATCCCTGTCTAATCCCAGAAGCCTAATATATGAAACTGCCCGCAATTGGGCTCGCGGTTTGCATGAACCTGGTCGGAGTGTTATTAGGTTCAGCTGGCACGCCTGGACCGCCCCATCAGCCACCTCCTGAACCGGAGAATGAGTGATGCCTGGTCTTAACCAACGAGTCCTGACGCGCTGTCATTGCCGTCTCTGCGCCGACGGTCGCCATGTCCCGCCAGGGTTACCATGCTGTGTCGCGCATAGCTGCATTCACGTTTCAAACCAGCGTCGATACTTCGTACAGTGAACAGAAAAAAAAAGCTTAGTTTGCGCCAATTGAGAGCCCCTTTTCGATTGATTAGGCGCAGCGAAGATCACATTGCGTGATGAATTCAGCCGGAGGAGGAATTGGCGCCGTCCGTTCTATATTTGCCTCTTGGCTATCTATAAGATGCATATTATAAGGTCTGACAGTGCATTTTCTCATACTCTAGGAGTATCAAACCCATACCGAAAGGACTGGGAAATTTCCATCTGCGACTTGGCATTGTGTTCGGGACTACAGTCTAACCTCCTGACGAGGGAGATATGAGTTCTCATCGCGATATCGTGTATATCCAGCAAGACTGTCACTTCCTCCCCCTAATGCATGCTGCGCGGTGGTTGTTATATCCGAGCGCTTCGACGGAGTAACCCCAGGAGATCGTCTAGGACCCAATGGACCCGTAAGCAGCCCCGCCAATCAATGATTATATTCGTTCGACTCTTTGGCTCCGGAAATTGTCCTCCTTCTTATCCGACACTATTTGCATTATGTAGGCTTCGCTTGATTCATGATATGTGGTTCTCGGATTAGAGAAGGCAACGCGACTTGACGATCAGTCGGCTCCGTTCTTACGGGGTTCGCAGTCAATCGCGCACTCGTTATTTGGCTTTTCAAGTGCTAATCTCCTGATAATGTCCCGGGCGAGTCTCCTAAGGAGATGATCTAAGAGTGTTGTCTTAGTTGTGTGTTTGGTGCGGCTCCTTCCAAGTCAGCGCGGCACAAATTGTGCCTATCAATGAACCCCGCACATCCCAATTATCAAATCAGACTGTCGAACCGCACTTGGAATTGAGCCACGCATCCTGGTTCAGCTGAGGGGGGAAGATGAATCCGCCAAAGATAGTATTCTGAGCAACTCATTTGGGTCCACTAATATTCCTTGCTGCTGAGCCTGCCGAGGCTCATTTCCATACGCCGACGAAATTGGACGTAAGCATTCCATCCGCATATACCCCCTTTGCTCACCCTCCATACAAGCCAAGGGACGGACGGCATATCTCTCCTTTACCTTTACACAGTACATTCAATTAGTCTCTCCACACCTGCACATGAGCTCTGACATCCTGAATACCACAGAATTTCGCCCCTTGGGTGGGGAGCGATGCCTGCAACACCGGCTTAGTCGCATCCTATCAGATCTCTAGGACTCCGAACCGGGCCCTGCTAGCCTTAAAAGTACGAACCGCGCTCCGGAAATGATGGCCTAGGCTGCTCTGACGTGGCAATCCCTTGATCTCGAATCGACCTATGGACATCCTAGGACATGCAAGTGTCTTGTCAGTGATACGACATCTTCATGCAGCAAAACTCGCTTCTCTGTGTTCAAATATCCGATGGATGCCCTGATAGCCAGTCATTGAACCGTTTCAAATCCCACTTGCATATGGCCAGTACAATCCATTTGTTCGACATCCTATCCCCCATTCTGACTACATTCGCAAAATCCACTAATCAGACTGTCTGCCTCTCAGCATGTGTCGCGCAGAGTTGGCCCGACCAAACAAACTATCCTGGTCCTAGCCAGGACTTGTTTGTTATCTTGCTCAAAGCTTGGTATGACTGAGACCTTGCAAGCAACTGTTGGTTCACAGCATTTGTTCTCATCAGATGTGTTGGCGTTGCTTATCAGTACAAGCTGACGTCTCTCTCCGACATGGAGGGTATGCCGACTGACTAGGCTATTCCGGCCAGATAGATGAATGCTAAACAAGCGCACTCTCATGCAGTAGTTTCTGAACAAGTTATTCCGTTCTTGCTATTCCTTGAAATACTTGATATGGCATATTGGTAGGTGAGCTTTCGCAAATTGATACCGATAGTACAGAGAAAGGTGGGCCATCTACGTCCATGTCGCATATGGCAAGATCTCCCTAATATCTGCTCTGAACAGAGAGCAAATTGAGGATCATAGTATACTTGTAATATTTCGACCTTCGATCAATAATACTGTTCAATATGTAGATATCAGCTTTTGCCGTTTCGGTTTATTATATAGGAAAATCTCAACGACACGATGGCCAACAACCATAATAGCCAGCCAACCTACCTGATAGTCACAATCACATCTCGTGAAATTCACATTAAGATTAGTTGTATCTCAGCGCTGAGCATTTGCAATTCTCGACGGCGACCACAGCCAGCGATAAATCACGTGACACAAGAGCCGGTGGGACCTCCGCGGCGCGCTAAAAATTGTATCAAAAAAGATCCGGAAAAAAAGCTGAAGAGTCGCCAGCATCATCCAATCGAGCCACTGCGCCCGTCTCAACCATATCACGAACCGTTTTTATCGACCGGAATGATTGTTTAACGGTCGGCTCTACAAGCTGAGCCGGGTAGAATCCTATCTTTCATCGCCAGACGGGGATCTACTTTTATTCCACGCCGTACCAACGAAGCTCTTCCAATACCCAGAAACTAAAGACATCATCACCACCACTCAAAGCCCATCATGGATATCCACCGTTGCCGTTTCGTCCCCTACAACCCTCAGGCGATCAATGCGCTTGCCTTCTCCCACCCTCCCTCCGCAGAACTCGCAGGACGAGGTGTCCCTACCCTCCGACTCGCAATCGGTCGCGCAAACGGCGATATCGAGATCTGGAACCCCCTGCGCGGCGCCTGGTTCCAGGAGACAGTTCTCAGAGGAGGAAAAGACAGAAGCATTGAGGGGCTCGCATGGACACTCGATCCCCCTGAGCCTGGTCCCGATGGGTCGAAGCTGCCTGGACGTCTGCGCCTCTTCAGTATCGGATACTCGACTGCCGTGACGGAGTGGGATATCGAACAGGGTCGTCCTCTGCGCCATTCGAGCGGAAACTATGGCGAGATCTGGTGTTTGGCTGCTCAGCCCAGGTGGCAGGCGACGCGGGGTAAGGATGGCAAATTGTTGCCTCCGGCGGAGGGAGAGTTCACGGGCCAGCATCTGGCTGCGGGATGCGCCGACGGATCGATTGTTATCTTGTCCACGGCGGATAATGATCTGAAGTATCTGCGTACTATGCGCCCGTCTACGAAGAGGTCGAGAGTGCTCAGTGTTACTTTCCAGAACCGTAATACCCTGGTCGCGGGCTATGCGGATAGTTCGATTCGGTTGTACGATATTCGAAGTGGTCAGCTCTTGCGCACGATATCCCTGGGTAAGGGGCCTGCGGGAGGAACGAAAGAATTGCTCGTCTGGTCGGTTAAGTGTCTGCCTGATGGAACGATTGTTTCCGGTGACTCGGCTGGTGAAATCCGCTTTTGGGATGCTAAGAACTATGCCCTTATCCAACGTCTGCAGGGCCATTTGGCGGATACTTTGGACATTGCTGTGAGCGCGAAGGGTGATACCGTTGTCAGTGGTGGTGCCGATCAGAGGACGGTCGTGTATAGGAAGAAGGATGGCGAGAAGGGAGACAAGAAGGCCAGATGGACTGAGGTCATGCATCGTCGCTACCACACTCACGATGTGAAGACCTTCGCTGTGTATGAGACCAGGGATATCAGTATTGCCGTGTCTGGAGGTGAGATTCATCGTGCTACGATATATGCGATTGACTGTGGACTAACATTGACTAGGACCTGACGCCGCACCGGTTGTCCTGCCCCTGCGCGAATTCGGAAAGGAGCACCACAGAAAGCTGTCTAGCTTGCCTCAAATACCCCAACTTGCATCTTCTCCTTCATCTAGGCTCGTGATGAGTTTCTGGGATAGGGAAGTCAGTATCTGGCGTTTGCACCGCGGTCCTGTGTCGCACGAGAATGCCGATGGCCAGCGGCATCGGTTGGTTGGCAAGGTTCTCATTCAGGTAAGAGTTACAGTGAATCACAATACAGCACATATCTAACGACTTGCAACAGGGCGAAGAAAACATCACATCTGCTATGCTCTCCGCTGACGGAAAGATCCTCGTCGTTGCCACGATATCCACCATCAAGCTGTTCTCCGTGCGGCGCCGCAAGGGCGATGAGAAGGGAACTCTCCGCATACAGAAGTTGGATGTACCGAAGGCTCTTGCGGAAGACGGTGCTCGGGTCGTGACCGTCGCTCCCAACGGCCAGTGGGTTTGCGTCGTTCGTCCCAACAGTGCCATGTACCTGGCTCGCATCAAGCCCGCTTCCACCGCGCAAGAGAAGCCTCACATTCATTCCCAGCTTGTCAAGCTGAATAGGGCTACCCGTCACACTCGTTTCGAGAAGGCCTCGCACGGTACCTTGGGCGAGTACGAGAGAACGGTGCGATGCGTCGTGTTCTCCGACGACAGCAAGGTCCTGGCATCCGGTGACCTCTCCGGCTGTGTCGATACCTGGGCGCTCCGAAACGCCGAGGACGCCCCCAAGAAGCACAACAATGCCGCCGGATCAGACGACGACTCTTCGGACGACGAAGACCAGCCAGTGATCGAAGGTGAGCGCTGGAGCCATGCTGCAGGGGAGTCACCCATCCCCCGTCTCAAGTCCGGTGTCGTCCTTCTGTCGTTCCGTCCCCCCAACCCAGCCAAGACGAAACTTCTTACAAACGGAGCCGCAAAGGGAGAGCACCGCCTGATGGCCCTCACAAGCGAGCACCAGCTCGTCGAGTTCGACGCCGTCGAAGGCAAGCTGTCCGACTGGTCCCGGAGAAACCCGAAGGCCTTCCTCCCCGAAGAGTTCCGAGGCGTCAAGGACCGCGCCATGGGCTGTGTCTGGGATCTGTCCGCAGCCCGCGAACGCCTATGGCTCTACGGCACCTCCTGGCTGTGGATGTTCGACCTCAACCAGGACTTCCCCTCCCCCGAGGAACTCAACGCCTCCGCAGACAACCATGAAGACGAAAACGCCTCGACACAAGCCTCCAAGAAGTCGTCCACGCAGAAGCGCAAACGCAACCCATTCGAGGAAGAAGAGAACGCCCGCAAGAAACCCAACAGCGGTGCCGGTGACAGGATACCCCTCGCCCAGTCTGATCTGTTCTTCGCCGCCAAGATGCGCAAGATCGTCGGCAGCGACGAAGGCCAAGGCGAATGGATGTCCCTCGACAAGGAACGTCCTCGCGCCCCCGACGCCGACGACGAAGCGTACGACTACGACGAAGCATACACGGCCAACAACGACGTCGCTCTGGCCCGTCTCCGCAGAGAAAGACAATTCATCGAAACCAGCACCCCCCTGAAACGCGTCTCCATCGGCGGCAAGCAGGACAAACTCCTCCTCGGCGGTGATATCGAAAGCCCCTCCGCCCAGAAACAACTCGTCCCTGCATCGGCCGACTCGAAATCCCAGCAGCCCTCGCGCCGCTGGTGGCACACCTACAAGTACCGTGATCTCCTGGGTATCGTGCCCCTGAGCTCGGATGCCGATGATGCCGACAGCGATAGCGACAGTCATTTCTTGGAGGTCGCCGTCGTGGAAAGACCCATGTGGGATGTCGATTTGCCGGGTCGTTATGTCCGGGACTACGCTTAGGCGAGTTGTCATCAATTCATACCATTTACTTTCTTTTCTTTTTTTATTATTATATGTTCATTTTTTTCTATTATATTTAGATATTCTTTGTCTTGGCGAGCATGATAGGTCTTTTTACAATCAGAACTAGATCAAAAGTTGTTTTCCTTAATCTCTTTCCCTCCATGTAGTATGTAGATTAATAACTTCATTATCGACAGGTCAGTCTCGTACTTGAAACAATTGGAACATATGTAACTTTGTATTACAGTTAATTGCCTGAACTATATTGATCTGATTCTAGGTATATCCGCACCTATCATAGGATACAAACAACTACCTACCCATGTATGATGGTTACTGGAATTCAAGTGAAAATTCATTTACACTTTTACCGTGTTTGATAGTGTATTGGTGACTATGTGTTATCACGGGAGAAACGTGATGTTCTGGAAACTGGGTAGGTCATGGCATGGTATGGCATGTCTTGTGTGTTTGGTGCTACTTTTACTTCAACATGAATGACTGTAATATACTGAAATTTGGAAATGCCATTGCAATAGGTAAAGACGACTGTCGGTTAGGACCTTTTCTCTTTCCTCCTTCGTATTTGTAGATGAACAGGGAGAAGGGCATAAGCTAGACAAACGAGGAGAGGAAGTAGTAAAGGATCAAGACAACGCCATGCATGTTTCCTGTAAAGATCTACCGCAACTATCGTGAATATCGAACCATGTTCCATGTAGCATAGCATGAGCGTAAAGAAACCGAAGCAACCCAGAACCTGCTGATCTGCGTTCAGAAGACAGCATACATATCGTGACGCATCAAAATCTTGTCTTGTCTCAATGCCCAAAGGCGACGAGAGACTCCATAGAAAGTACAAAAGGTAAACATGTAACGAAAACGCCGATGAAAAGAGAAAAGGTACATTTGCAAACTCCCATGACATTTCCTCTTTGGCTTGTGGTCGTGATTTTCAGTCAGACTTCTTTCACGCAATAAGTATGCGGCTGCTGTGAGAAACACCATAATCGAAAGCCGATTTATAAACTCTCTATTTGGCGATCCGGCATGGATTTGTCTCATGGCAGGCCTATCATGATGTTGATTGATTTCGGGTGGCGAGAGATATAACGGACCTGGCGCATCCCGTGTCTGCCGCATCTGCAGAGTATATAGTCGTGCGACTCAGCTTCGCGGCGCTGTGAAGTGAGGTTCGGAAGCTGGCACCCGAGAGATGCGTATATCGACGGGCAACGGATAAATGTAGCGCAGCATCCGTTTGCTGCTGACGGTATGCTAGCCCCGCCAGTTGATGTTGGTCGCACTGTCGAGTGGACGGGATGTTGGACGCTGACCAGCCATGGCAGGCTCAGGTCCAGATCCTTGGTGGTGACATATGGGCGGACGGCGATTGCTTGGCATGTAATTACCAAGACCCCTAGTAGCTTTGCGCGGAGACAGGTGCAGGCTGCAATCATTAGCATCAAATAAGCAAAGATAAATGCCAAGTTCAAGAGTGAAAT